CCTGAAATTTTATTTCCCAGCACGTAACACAGATTGTATAAAGTTAGCTGACAGACGAATGTACCAGTTTAGGGAAGAGTTCAAAAATGAAATGGTATTGTATGAACCCAATCTCTCCACTGAGGATCGATGATATTCAATATCGCTCTACCGACTCTGAAATCGAATTCGATGTCACATTTCTTGATAAACCTGATTTCGATGGTAAATTGATATTCATATTCACTTGGACTCCATTCGTATAGATTATTGACGCATAGATTATTATTTCGCATTATTTACAGGTATTATAATTCCTCAAACCATGCTTGTCAGTAGCGAAACATTCGATGTGGCCAGAACTCGCTCAGCAAGTAGTCAACGTGAATGCTTGGAGCAATTAGGCCATGTTTATGGACTATTTGCGTGAGTTAATTGCAAGTCTGTGTGAATTGAGTTACTCATACGAATAATGACTTTACTGAATGACTTTTTTTCAATTAGTGTTGGCATCTGGAGATCTTCAGATTCCTTCTGTGGTTATTTGAAAAAATTTGAGGATTTCAAGGAAGATCCCAAAAATGGAAAATCGTGCAAAGTCTACATCTTTCCATTGGAGAATTACTATCACATAAGCCATGAATTAGCACTTGATGATCTTCAGAAATCCTTTTTGGAGGACAAATTCAGAACATTTTCCGTGAAAGATCCCGAATCACAGCGCTGTAAGCATTTATTCTTATATGAATTTAATTTCTGAGTCTTAATTTTCTTTCTTATCATTTTTCCACAGCTTTTTCTTATAAAATTTTAGATATAGTTAATGTGACTGAATTTCAAAAGGATGATAAAGTGTCGGATATTAATTCATTTTATACAATGGCGAGCAATTCGAGGCTAAAAAAAGATGACAAAACCATGCTAGTTGTACCTGGAGTCTCAACGTTTGCTGACTGCCTGAGAGTCTGTCAAAACTCAGAGAAACTTGAGTGTAATTATTTTTCTTTCTGCTCTAATTCGGGTTCCGTTGACTGTAGAGTAAGCGCCTTGAGAGAAAGTAATTTTACGGATTTACCATCAACCCAAGAGCGTGACACAAAATGTCGAATTTACGCAATGAATCCTTTAAGATTTTACTCAAAAGCTCCTAACCGCAAGTTCAAAAAGCAAATATCAACTGCAATCAGACAAAGTGCAACTTCTTGTGCTCAGGAGTGTGTAAATTCTGATGATTGTATATCATTCCAAGACTGTGGGTACTCGTGTAGCTTTAATAGCTTTTATACCGACTCAAGCACTGAGTATGACGAAGATTGTGCCATATATTATCGTAAGTATTCTTGAATATGATTTCTTTTAGACATCTCATGAGCTCTTCTTTTTTCAATATTAGCCAAAGTATCTCATGAGTACAGGAATACTGGTAATAAAATAGTATCTGAAGTGATTCACACTGAGATGAACTTGAATCTAGACCAATGTGCTTCATTGTGTCATGGATGGACTGATGGTGACACTGGATGTAAATCGTTCAACTATTGTCCCAGAAATATCAATCAAATGGAAAGCTCATGTTCATTGACTAAATATTCAGTTAAAAGTTCTGATACAAATATCACTGAAGAAGGTTACTGTTTTAATTACGAATTGTTAACTTCGTCGAATGTCAAAACCAATGAAGAATCAAGTGAAACCCAAGTCATCAAAGGAACGAGCGGATCAAGTGCTTTTGGTATAATCATGATGTTTCTGGTTGTCGGTTCTTTATTAGGATTCTCAGCTCCATTTGTTTATGAAAAAATCAAAAGCAAACGTGATGTCGCACAGGTGAATGAGAGTTTCACTTGGACAAAACAAGTTGATGAGCAAACTGCAACTAATAATTGAATTATGTCTGGCTTTTAATTGTTTATCTTACACCTAACTCTATGAGAATCCAAATGGTCCATCAGTATTCACTGCGAACTCTATGAGTTTCCTCAATTCATCCATTATTAATATATCTTTCTAATCTCATCTTTAATTTAAAAAATTCAGTCAATAGTTGCATCGCAGTTGTAATATGAGATAAATAATAAAAAACTTAAAAAACAGAATATTCATTTATTTGAGTTTAAAAATTATTTCATTGATGATTGTTGTTTCAAACAGATGGTTGAAGAGTTTCAAAATGTAGTAACATCAGATGAGAGTTAACACAAGTTGTTACTTTTGAGACTCTAGGCAATCCTGATGATCACCAGGATTTGTGAACAAATGAGTCAATTCCAATCATATCAACATCTTTAATTGTCATGAAATACCTCATTGTACCTTATTATTTGTCGAATTTACAAGCCATCTTAATGATCTGGTTCATGGTTAATAAAACGCCCTTCAATCAGTTTGAAGCTTGAAGATTCATTGCATTTTTGAAGTTTCATGGTACCTAAACAACGATTATTTATTAATGGTATCGGTTGGGCAGGATTAATCAAACCAGAATCGATGATTAAATCCAATCCTGATAAATCTTTAAAGTTACAAGCCAATATCAAAATTAGTTAAATTTGAATTTTCTAAACTGAATTTGAACAACTGACTTTGACAACAATTCTGTTCTGAATCGCCCATTTCGTGATGCATCTTTTATACTAGGTCAGACGATCGATCGGCATAATCGGAGCGTTTTTTGCAAAAACGGTATATTTACCTTTGCATTTGTATTTTTCAATTAGTCTTTGTCTATTTTCAGTTATTCCGATAGCCAATCGTTTTTGTATTTATTTAGGTTTCTAAGGAAACTTCAATCAGATTTTAAGTATGATATAATAAATCATTCGAAAGTTAAAAGTTCATGTGATAAATGCATACGAAAAATGGCTAAATACAGAGAATGCTCCACTACTCAAAATGCTTATAAAATCAATCATGAAAAATGTTATCTCGCTGCAATGATCATGAATTCCATAATTAGTCTGAGCGAAGCGAACACTATAAGATACCTCCTACGCTTCCTCAAAAAATCACTTTCACTGCAGTAACTCTCAGAGCTATTGCCCAATCATTTTCAAATTGACCATAATAGTTCTTGAGCAAGTGAGAAATTTCTGAAAGGGCAGAATTTTTTAATTAACACTTCCGTTTCCGGTCTAACCTTTAAAAACACATTTTAACTAATTTGAGTACAAAAACCAAACCGTTATGCTGAATACATTCCCGTTTTGTATTTAGATAGCAGCACATGTAATCTTGCTCATAACAAATACATTGTCACTTACCAACTTCCGGTCTAGATATTTTCTTAAAAAACACCCTTTTTCTGACGTTCCTTTACCGTTGCTTTTTATCTTCTGTCAGTATACCTATCGTGTTCTCCATCATCGATATACCCGAAAAAATCTAAAAAAGTTCATCTTCAAGGTTAACTGTAACCTTTTTTGGTCATATCCTAAAATTTACGTTTTTACGAAATTCAAAAAGTAAGCTTTGATACTTAACCAAACTATTACTAACGTGTTCTCTATCACTGAAATACCTGAAAACATCCACAAAATTGCATAATCATTGCACAATTCCCAATAGTTGTCGCTCATGCTCATCCTCAATCTATGCATCACAGTGTATAACTTCCCATAAGTCGCAGGGCTTAACTTTCGATAAAGTTGTATTTGACATAGGAGAACAAGAAAGAAGCCTAGGTCTTTCATATGTAGCACTCAGTCGTGTGAAGCCACATTATGGACTTATGCTTTTGAATCCCTTTGAGAAGAGGCTTGATTATAATATCTCTAAATCTGACATGATAGCTTCTAGACATAAATTCCGCAGGAGGTTTGTCTAATCTATTGGTGAAGTTTTTACGTTTTTTTACGTTATTTATAATATTAATTATATATTATTTGAAACAGAAGTGCTGTAAAAATGGATTACATGATGCATAAAACTGGAGTAAAGGACTGTTGACAGAAAATCGATTTTACAGTTGAGAGCTATGGATTTTTGAGTTTTTTCGGTGCATTAAAAGTAAGTCCATTAGTGCTATGGGATACCAGTAAAAATGAGTTTCAGATCTAACGCTCTTACAGTCACAGAAAACGGTCAATTCAACTGTAAATCGAAGTGATCGCAGAGAAACAGAATTTATCATATAAGATAATTGCATTTTCTGGTTAATCAGCAAAAGAACCAGACAAAATCTGGTTTACTTATTGAAAAAAGGCGAACGAATTTTAAACTTTGACTTCATTTTTACGAAAACTGTCGAACCGAAAAATTTCAATGGCATCTATATACTCAGTTTATATACCACTAAAAACTCATCAAGTCCCAACTCTAAACGGTACAATCGAAGTTTTTTGTCCATAGTCCTATGAATCTTAAAATTATTTAATTATAAATGCGCTTTTCGTGTTTATTGATGAAGCTAAACGCGAGCTCAGACTACGCCGCTTCACGGCTGACCTAGTTTAATTTGTAACTCCACAAAATTTGGCACAAAATTGATGAAAAACGTTTCTCTTTCACTTTAACTCTTTCATCTTCCATAATCGAGATGAATTCAAGATTTCAAGAATTGAATCATTATTCGTTTTTAGGTGCAAAGGAAAGCAGCACCCTTTGATCATAAATTTTTCGCTGCACAAAATACATAGCTAGAGAACCTACACACTGATATCAGGCAACACCTGATTATCACCTATTGTTTCGCTGCTGGCTTCTCATTTCAACAAACCATAAACAAAACCAGCATCTGGCCGCAAATAGTTTCCTGGGAAACAGTAGCTGATGTTGGCTCGTATGCCAGAGAAGTTTACATGGCAAGGATTGATACTTTTTATGAACAGCAAGGGCTGATCGGAGGACCAGGCATAATCGTCCAGATAACGAATGCAAATAGGCAAAAAGAATAACTGTGATAAGCTGGGTGAAGGCCACGGGCTCATTGTGATTGAAAGGTATAGGAATGAAGATTATCGACTTGAGATATTATACCACTGGCCCAATAGCCTATTCTCTGCTCAGCGTAGTTCTAGTTTCAACCTTTTTTGCAACTTTTATTGCGTTTTAAGCTATATCTCGATAACTGCATGTTGAATTACAATAATCTTTTTCATGGTTGATCAAAAAGGAACAAAAATTTTTCTAAGACCTTCAAATGACCTCTAAAGGTCAAAATACGAATTTCCGACAAATGACCTTGGATGACCTTGAAATTTTTTTCAGACATTTTGCAAGTCATAAAAAGTTTTTATACGAAGTAGTGACTCGATCGCGCCAGTATCTTCATAGATAATGCGGTGAACGTAAAAATTTGAAGTGAAATTTTTTGTCGGTATCCTGAGTTGTAATCTCCACTTCGTTTCACTACGCTCCGATAATTATCTTTTTGAATTGGAATTAAAAATTTTTGGATTATTGTCAAGATTATTTCAATCCTAATTTTTCCTACTAACAATTACACGTTGTAAGACAGCGATACCGAAAGGAAGGAAACATTTCGAAGCTATGTTGACCACTCGAGTACTGACGTCTTCGGATGTACTGCTGAAAGCCTGTGATTGAAACTAATAGCACTAATACAGATGGTAGTGATAGTGGAAGCGATGCTTTTGTGTGATCGACTGGTAATTGAAGATTTTAAATCTATGCAAATGCAAAGTAATTCAGATGCCGAGTGGACTTATTTATTGTTATTAAATATTTATATTGTATCAAATTCATATGACAAATTGTGTTTAAAGCACTAAATAATCGCAGTTGCATTTTCTTAGTTTTTTTTGTAATTTGATAAAAATTGTTATCATTATCTCGAGGATTAAACATGATTCATTAAAGGGTGGAAGCAAAGGGTAAAGTAGGACTGATCACCTTACTCTTTGAGTGGAAGGGATCACTCAATGAAACCCTCAAGTTTTCGGATCTCAATTCTTACCTGCTTGAGACAAGTGCTATTAAACGTCAATTTTAATTTAAAATACAATCAGGTTTGCTTTTGATAATTGTTAGATATTGGCGATAATTGATTTAATTGTATCAAATAATTTTTAAATCAGAGCCATCTGTATAAGCAGAAAAGCAATAAACAATGAGATGTTAATGGTTTGTATTAAGAGGTCTCTCTTCTTGTGCTTAATGTTTTATCCTCAATACCCTTTACTTGCTCAATGCAAAGCATGTTACATTTTTAATTGACTGTTAAACCCAAGTGCTTATAAATGTCATAAATTGTAATGTTATTGATACAATTTAAAATCAACAAAATGCTTGTAAAGTTTTCCATTATTTTCCTTTCAATATCAACTCTAATAACAGGACGGATAATGCCAGACGCTCCAGAGTTGCTGGATCTACCGTTAAAGGTGTCAGATGGAGTGTTGCTCATCGATGCTAGTTTCCATAATTCCGTGAGTGCAACAATCAACAGCTTTTATTCGAAATATTTTTATTTTTACTTTCGTTTTTAGTCTTATCCATTTGGAAGAATTTTTTCAGTGAGAGAAATGATATTAGTTTCAGAATCAGCCATCACAGGTAAAATTCAAGTCTGGAATAATGAGGATGGCTATGATATTCATTATCAGTTTGATAGATCCGGGAAGGACAGTAAGGAGAGATTGGTTATTCATGGTAAGAGTCTTCTTAATTGAGGACATATGGATATAAAAAAATAAGTGAATTCCGGTTAACGAAAATATATTTCATTTCTTTCATAATTGAAGATAAAGATTGCACATTATATAATCACAGTGAAATGATTCAAAATGCGCATCTATTTGGAGATAATAAACCTCTTAGAGATTTAATAATGATGACGGGACCTTCAATTATATACCGATTCGCTGGACAATCAGCTGTTTGGGTAAGTTGATAACAACTATTCTTTTAATGAAACTTGAAATTAAATTTATTTTGAAATAGAGTGAAGCTACACAGCATGGATTGAGTAGGAAACTTAATACGACTGTTGTCTCGTATTCAACATTTGTAATCACTCTTGATTTCCATAGTAAGTCTGTATTTTTAAGCCATCAAAAGTCACATATTCCTAATTCTTATTCATGAACCAGATACATATGACTTTTCTCCTGGAGCTAAACAATTCCAAATTGAATTCAAAGGCTACGACCAAGTTTCAGAATCACATGGACAGCGATTACTCATGGATATTTACCTGCACAGGTCTTTCACTCCGATTCAAATTTCTGATTTAAAGTACAAAACTCAAGTAAGAAATTCAAGATTCATCGTTGGCATTTGACTTTCAGTCCATTGGATGACTGAAACATTTCATTTTCTCGAATTTAGTGTATTAGGTGAATCATGCATGCAAGAAGGCAACCTTTTTAGGTTTAGGTTTCAAGTAACTTCATTCGTATTCAATTTTAAATGTTCATTTGGTAAACAAAAACATTGTATGCTTAAGTATTGTTTTCCAATGCTCTTGTTCACCAAATACGTATTATTGCAAAATTTTAATTGATTGGGACTTTATTATTATTCCATCTAACTGGAATATACCTTTGAAACTCGATTAGGATTTTATAGCTATGGACCATCTTCATATCCACCTGGGGAGAATTTAGAATTTCACAAAATTGGGTCCGATTCTATTCTATTTGATTTTGTGAAACATAAAGTTTAAGTAAGAAATTCAAGATTTGATTTTTGCCATTTAACTTTTAGTCCAGCAAACTGCCTAAACATATAAGCTCAAATTCAAAATTCTAGGTGAGCCAAGCTTGTAAGAGAACAACTTTTCTCAAGTTTACTGTTTTCGAGTATCTTCATTCGTATTTAATCTTGAATGTTCACTATTTTTATGAGCAAAAATTATGTTCGTTGAATTGTTTTCCAATGCTCTGAACCTTTCTTGTGCCCGAAACACAAAATTTAATTGATTGGGATCTTATTATAACTCACACTGACTTAATTTTTGTTTAGCCTTCACCTGGAATTGGTTGTCCGAATTACTTAATACCATCTGAAAGGAAACCGATTCCCAAGTTATTGGCCAAGTATGTAAACTTCACCATGTATGAGGAGATCGAAGGCTCAACTAATAACAGACCATTCAGTGAAGTTAGTTTCGATTAGTTAAGTTTAGTCTGTTTCTCATCCAATTGAATTACGCTTACAGATTACGGCATCTGTACAGAGCCTTTTGATGAGGCTTAAAACAAACTTAAATGGTGTAAAAACAGAAGTCATTTACGATCATAGACATGGAATAGCTCTTACTCTCGAAGAAGGTGGACGTTGCCAGATTGCAATCAGTAACAATAACTCCCCTGGACTGGATGTGATGTTTCGCTTTAGGCTAGAGAATCTTTTCTTTGTCGATGGTGACTTCAATTATCTGAGAAAGGACTACTTCGTAAGTAATTTCACGAATAGCGCTAAAGTAAGAGTTGAGTAAATTGGATGCTTATCTTCAATCTATTTTTTCAATTCGTTTATTACTCAAAACTAATTCTGATGAAAACTTGGATTCATTTTTATCATTGCAATTCTTTAGGTAGACCGATTCGAATTTCTTGTTGATGCTTGGGAATCAGTGCAATTCAATGTTGATTTTCAAGGAAATAAAGTGGATAAAATTGTCTTTACTCATTTTTTTGTTGAATCGGTAAGTTTGATACAAAAGTAATACATGAATTTAACCTTAAAAATGCAACAAAATATAATAGTTGTGAAGCAATCTAGAGAATGTATTTAGGGCCTTTTCCATCAACAGATTATATAAATCTAATCTAATCTAATCCAATACAAGTTAATACATTTTTATAAAAGGTAATAAATTTGAATGCGCGCCATCTATATCATAATAAAAAAATTACTTAGCTTGCCGGCGTCGTCAAGCTAATGTAAACAAAAAACTCTTTCTGTTGTTAACTAATGAAGTGTACATTTGAAATTAAATATACTCTTCATCGTTGAGTTTGATTTCTTTTTTAATTCTAGTTTAATTGTTTTATTTCTAAATTTTAAACTTGTGATCTCTCTCTCTAATGGCTCTCGATCAGCCGATAATAGAAAAAAAGTTTTATATTGACCCAAAAGAGGCAAAAATTTTACTTAAAGAAAATTATAAAGTTACCAACTCTAATGCTCAAGCTAAACTACAAAGTGAATTCCGCCAGCAAAATAGAGATTTAATCTCTGATTATAATCGATATACAGCCTGTTTTAAATTGGATGGAGCCTCAGTTAATGCTGTAAAAGAAACCCTGAGAATTAACCAGAAATTATTGACGACAACTGCCGTGGCTGGAAGCAAAAATCGAGCTCTAGAAATCTCAGCAGACAAGATGATTGAACAAATTCAATCTGAAATGCCAAATATACATATGGTAAGTAATTTAATCTTTTTAATATTATCTTAACTTCTAATACTTGAACAAGCTACCGAAATTAGTAACCTGAGCAAGCTTATAATACTTGAACAAGCTACCGAAATTGATAACCTGAGCAAGTTTGTAATACTTGAACAAGCTAACGAAATTGATAACCTGAGCAAGTTAAAGTCGACTAAATTCAATCTTATTCTTATCTTTTCAGCCTCGCTTCATTATCGGGACTTCCAAACTATCGTGGCCATTGCTACTTCAATCCGATCTTCGTACCATTATTTAACACCGTTTTTTTGTTCAGCTCTGAGAGAAGCTTTCGACGTGACTAGCGAGTATCTTTACAAGACTGGAGAGCTTCGACCAGAGTCTTACCGAAATCAAACTATAAGCGGCAGCTGTCATTTTTTATTCGTTCGCATCATTAAACAATTTTATAATAAGTATAGAAAAGCTTCTCTTGAAGCTGAATTGAATATTCTAAATTGGCCAACCCTTGAAGTTCCAAGAGCATCAAACACAAACGATCTTATTGTTGATAGAGCGCTTATGAAGATTGTGATCGAGCTGGCCAACAAAGAAGATCCAACTTATAAAACTCCTGGTAAGTTTATATCAGAATTTTTGCTTCCGAAAGTGAAAACAAAAAAGCGATTAACCTAACTAATCAATGATACTTATTTTTCAGGTGGAGTTTGCCAGCAACTTTTTACTGATATTGTTAGTAAAATTACAAGTGACTTCGAGCTCATTCCAATGGTCTCACCATTTCATGAATTATTTAATATTCAAATTGACTTTGAATATACATGTTTAAGATGCGACAACTTTGGATTAAGACGAAGATTCGAGTCACCATATATCAATGTTCCAGCTAGGCACAAGAAACACAAGTCACTTCAAGAATTCCTTGAAAATTTAGACGATCTTCTCTACTATCAAGATTCTCAATGCAAGCATTTCACTTTCTATGATGGAGGTAAGGAAGTTTTTGTTTTTAATTTCGAAAGCAAAGATTTTTGTTATTATTGTGGATCTCAAATCGAGATCTCAAAATGAGATCTCAAATCGAGATCTCAAAATGAGATCTCAAATCGAGATCTCAAAATGAGATCTCAAATCGAGCTCTCAGCAAACTTTAATTTTATGATATTAATTTCAATTTTTTCTTTCTTTTCTTTTCTTTCCAACAGAAAGCTTGAAATGTGAAGGCTCTATGCTCAACATAAGACAAATAAATCTAAACCAAGCTCCACCGATTCTGGTTTTCCACATTTACCCGGGTGATCAAAGAAAAGCTGGTGCACTTGAAATATATTAGGAGCTATTGATGGATCTTTGGTTCGTTTAATCGTGCCTGAAGAACAAATGGAAGCTTATTTTGATCGTCATTTGAGCTGTTCACTCAATATCACTGCTATTTGTGACCATCAAAAAATGGTCAGATTTTTGATTGTTGGACAAAGTGGTGCGAGACATGACATGCATGTATTAAAGGAATCTAATCTTTATAAATCTGGTCTATTTCCTCCTAAAGATTATATTATTCTGGCTGATTCAGCATACCTCAATTCATTTGAACCTATCAATATTATTTCGCCGTACAAAAAGCAGCATCATCAACCTTTACTTCTTAGGCAAAAAAGACAATTCAATGAAATTCATTCGCGATGTAGATCAGTAATTGAACGAACATTTGCTGATATCAAAACAAAGTGGAGAAGGATTCACTTGAATATCCTTGAATGTAAAGTTACAATGGCTGTTGAAGTAATTGCAGCCGCAGTAATATTAAACAATCTAACATTGAGTGATTTCCTCAATTCAACTATTTGTATGCCTGAGACTCCAACTTTACAATCACAAGACCCAAATCCTAAGCCTAATACATTTTTGAACGCGAACGCTTACAGAGATTTTTTTGCTGAAAGAATTGTTAATTGAATAAATAAACATGAAATTAATGTGAACTTTCTTGAAATTTATTGATATGAAATTCATGGTTCTCTGTTTTTAATTTCAAAAGCAGAGAAAGCATTTATAAGTCAGATTTTGTTACAATAATAATGGATGCAAAACTTTTTGTTGTCACTTTCGATAGCAAAATTTTTTGATTAATCAGTGTTATTTCGCTGTAAATATTTATAAAATTCAACAGTTGATTTTGTCAGAGTATCAAAGTTGTTCGCTATCGAATCTAAGTTTTCTTGTGATTTCTGCATAATGTCTCGGTAGGCTGGTGGCTTTTTTCTAGTCCTCTGCCTAGTAAAAAGTTCTAAGTCCTCACTTTCATCGATCCAAGGGCGAGAAGATTCAGATTGAGATCGCTGATTATTCGAAGGTTGCGTAGGTTGAGAAGACTGAGAAGGCTGAGAAGGCTGAGAAGGCTGAGAAGGCTGAGAAGGCTGAGAAGGCTGAGAAGGCTGAGAAGGCTGAGAAGGCTGAGAAGGCTGAGAAGGCTGAGAAGGCTGAGAAGGCTGTGAAGGCTGTGAATCAAAGTATCTTGTTGAGTTTTGACTATTGTTTAGACCATCCAAATCTTGAAATGAAAAATCGTCGAGCTGCTGATTTGCTGAAGCTCCTGTATCATGTAGATCTCCGTTTTCATTATTATTAATATTTTCATCGTTTATATCATTGTCATTATCATTGTTAATATCATCACTAATATCATTAATATCATCATCATTCACACTGCTATTATTGGCAACATTACCATAACTATTATTTTCGGAGTTGGTATTTTGAAGAAAAGAGGAAGAGTCAATTACTTTTTTTGGATTATACTTGTCACTAATACTCCTGAAGTACGATATTAGCTCATTAAGTTGTGACTCGGCTTCCGATAGATGATACTCAGCTCCTGAGCCTGTAGATTTTTTCTTGTAGCCTTTGGCTCTTAGATTCATAAACTTTGTTCTAGCGATCTCCCATTTGATATCAAAGCCACATTTCCTACATAATTTGTACCACGCTTCGCCTTTATAATAACAAGTAAAGTCTTTTTCCATATCTTTTCTGGCACTGAGAAGCTGAATACTTTTGTCTATAGTCCCTGAAAAGGCAAAACGAAACAAGGGTTGTTAGTTTGTAATTTCATGAGCTAAAAACTTCTATTAAGATTTATTCGGTTTTCAAATTCGGAAGCTGAATAAATTAGATCAACTTTCAAAAAGTAAAAAGTACAAAAAACTTACACGAGAAACTTGTTTTCTTTCGTTTTTTAGGCACATCTTGTTCACTGAGTAACGTCTCATTATTATTGTTGTCATTATTCGTAGCTGAACTTTCAGCACTATTTGATGTATTTTCACTAATTCCAATCATTGAAAAATTAATAACACAAATAAATATCCAATCTGTAATATGAAATACTAAAGTAATACTGAGTTGAGATACTACTAAAACCATGTGCTTCTCTTTTCTCAATGAGCATGTCAAAGATCTTGATTTAAAAAGTTGATGGAAACGGATTCTTGTTGATAATCTTTTGTGACGTCACAAAAAAATCAACATTTAGTATCTTTTATCATCAAATTTGCTTGATGGAATTCACCCTTAGTGAGGGAAGAACAATTGCATTGCACTGTATGATATTGGTCAAATTCCGAGGAAAATCTTTTCCATTCATTTATTTTATTTACCGGTATATAATTTATTTTGATCATTTTCCTTTTTCTATCCATACCTTGGAATCCATATTACTTTGATATTTGACCCTTCAAAGCCGAACAGTACGATATTTGCTGGTTATTCACTTGTGCAAACAATGATTTCTATCTATAACTCACACTCATCGGTAAGTGTTCATTTCCATTCTTATCAATAATATCTTCTTTTGGTAATCAAAATCATTTTCATTCTTCTCTTTATTAGAAAAAAATTTCCATTCTTAATACTATAGTATCTTTACAATAGTATCTTTTTGTGATCATCTAAATCATTTCAACTTTTTTCATCAGAAAAAAAGTTACGTTTTGGCTAAAAGGATCAGAAGAAGCTATGTGTACTTGCAATCTGTTCAAACTAAATACGAAATATATGATTATTTGAATGATTGTAAATACTTGCTAAGAGACAGAAGAGTAACCCTTAGCTTTAAAATTGGATGTCAAGGTATGTATTGATATTGAAATTCACTGTATGTCTCTCGAATCAATGATTGGACAAAAGTATAAGCTAATTAATTCTGAAAGCAAGGGTTGTATTTGCTTCCATGTAATATAGTTCATTGTTCATGAATATAGATTGGCTTATTAACGCCTAAATGCGTTGTGATTGATTGATTGTTCATTTTGCATTCATACAAAATAATGAATATATTATTAATGACTAAATTTTATTTCCAGTACGCAATACTGATTGTGTAAAATTAGCTAACAGATGTTTGGTCCGATTCAAGGAAGAGTTCATAGATGCAATGCTAATATATGAACCAATCTCTCAACTGAGAATCGATGATATTCAATATCGCTCTTCCGACTCTCAAATCGAAATGAAAGTCACATTTCTTAGCAAACCCGATTATGATGGTAAATTGATGTTAACTTAGACGTTATTGGAAATTATTATTGATTTGGAATCGAATAAACATTGCATATTTTGCATTTTTTTACAGATCTTATCAATCCACAAAAAATGCTTGTCAGTAACGAAACATTCGATGTGGCTAGAACTCTCTCTGCAAGTAATGAAAGTGAATGCTTGTATCAATTAGGTCATATTCGTGGACTTTTTGCGTGAGTTGATTGCGAGTCTGTATGATTTTTTAATTATTAATAGAATAATAATGACATCACTCTTTTTGCTCAATTAGTGTTGGTATCTGGAGATCTTCAGATTCCTTCTGTGGTTATTTGAGAAAATTTGAGGATTTCAAGGAAGATAACATAAATGGAGATTCGTGCAACGTCTACATCTTTCCATTGGAGAAGTACTATCCCATAAGCTATGAATTAAGCAGGAACTTAGCACTCGATGATCGTCAAAAAGGATTTTTGAAGTATATGTTCAGAACATTTTCAATGAAAGATCCTTTATCACATGATTGTAAGCATTTATTCTGTTATGAATTTAATTTGTGAGTCTTAATTTACTTTTCAACGTTTTCCACAGCTGTTTCTTATAAAATTATAGATATCGTTGAAGTAACTGAGTTCGCAAAGGACGGTAAAGATTCTAAAATCCCTTTATATCATAGAATATATGACAACTCGAAGTTAAAAAAAGATGAAAAAACAATTCTAGTTGGGCCTGGAATCGCAACGTTTACTGAATGCCTCAGATTTTGTCTAAATTCTAAGGAACTCAACTGTAGTTCTTTTTCTTTTTGCTCTGATTCTGATTCCGTCGACTGCAGAATAAGCGCCTTGATAGAGAATAATGTTACGGAGGCAGCAAACAAAGAACGTGACACAAAATGCTCTATCTTTTCAATTAATGCATTGCGACTTTACTCAAAAGTTCCTAATCGAAAGTTCAAAAAGCAAATATCAACTGCAATCAGGCAAAGTGCAACTTCTTGTGCACAGGAGTGTTTGCACTCTGACGATTGTATCTCATTCCAAGACTGTGGATATTCGTGTAGTTTCAATAGCTTTTATACTGACTCCAGCTCTGAGTATGACGAAGATTGTGTCATATATTATCGTAAGTATTCTTGAATATGATTTCTTTTAGACATCTCATGAGCTCTTCTTTTTTCAATATTAGGCGAAGTACTTCATGAGTACAGGAATACTGGAAATAAAATAGTATCCGAAGTGATCCACACTGAGATGAACTTGAATCTAGACCAATGTGCTTCATTGTGTCATGGATGGACTGATGGTGACACTGGATGTAGATCGTTCAACTATTGTCCCAGAAATATCAATCAAATGGAAAGCTCATGTTCATTGACTAAATATTCGGTTGCGATTTCTGATACAAATAGCATTGAAGGAGGTCACTGTTTTAATTACGAATTGATAACTCAGTCGAATGACAAAAAAAATGAAGAATCAAGTGCACTTAAATTAACCAAAGGAACGAGTGAATTGAATTCTTTCGGTATAATCATGATGTTCCTAATCATTGTTTCTTTTTTAGTATTCTCAGCTCCATGTGTCTACGAAAAAATCAAACCCAAACGTCTTGTTACTCAGGTGAATGAGAGTTTCACTTGTACAAAACAAGTTAATGAGCAACCTGAAACTACTAATTTAAATATGTCGACTTTTAAATGTTGATCTTATACCGAATTTCAATGTGAATCCAAACGATCTAAGAATATATTCACTGCGAACTCTATGAGTTTCGGGAATTCATCCATTATTAATATATCCTTTTAATCTCGTCTTTAATTTAAAAAATTCAGTCAATAGTTGCAGCGCAATCCCAATACAATATTGATAATAAAAAACTTCACGATACAAAATAGTCATTTTTATGGGTTTCAAAATTATTGCATTGATGATTGCTGTCTTAAATAGATGATTGAAGAGTTTCATGAGGTTAATTGCATTTTGAAGTTTCATGGTACCTCAAAAACGATCATTTATACGTAGGATCGGTTAGTTAGGAGGAATCAAACCAGAATTTATGATAAAATGCAATCCTTACAAATCTTTAAAGTTAAAAGCTAATATCAAAATTAGCTAAATTTAAATCTTCTAAACTGAATTTGAATGACGTACTTTGAAAACAATTCTGTTCTGAATTGCCCATTTCGTCATCGCATCTTTTATCTTTAAAGACAGCGATACCGAAACATTTCGAAGCTATGTTGACCACTCGAGTACTGAGATCTTCGAATGTACTGCTGAAAGCTGGTGATTAAAACTAATAGTACTAATAAAGATGGTAGTAATGGTGGAAGCGATGCTTTTGTGTGATCGACTGGTAATGAACAAAATCACGGCCAATTGAAGATTTTAAATCTATGCAAAGCAAATCAATTCAGATGCTCGATTGGACTAACTAAGTGCAGTTTAGTTTCTTTGTTTCTTCGTACTTTGATGAAGATTGTTATCTCGAGGATTACACATGATGCACCAAAGAGAAACGATTACACAATGAGACCTTCAGGTTTTTGGATCTTAACTCTTTCCTGCTTGAGACAGGTGCCATTAAACGTCAATTTTAATTTAAACTTAATACAATCAGGTTTGCTTTTGATAATTGTTAGATATTGACCAAAGAGTAAAGTAACCTTACTCTTTGATATTGACCATAATTGTCTTGATTGTATCAAATCATTTTTTACATCAGAGCCATCTGTGTAAGCAGAAAAGTAATAAACAATGAGATGTTAAGGGTTTGTATTAAGAGGTCTCTCTTCTTGTGCTTAATGTTTTATCCTCAATACCCTTTACTTGCTCAATGTAAAGCATGTTACATTTGTAATTAACTGTTAAACCCAAGTGCTTATAAATGTCATAAATTGTAATGTTATTAATGAAATTTAAAAGCAACAAAATGCTTGTAAGACTTTTTATTATTTTCCTTGCAATATCAACGATGGTGAAAGGTGAGTAACAGAATTAAGTGCTTGCGAATGAAAATTAATGGAATCTTCTCTCATGAAATTGTGATCAATTAAATTGACAGCTGAAGTCACAGAGTTGCTGGATCTACCGTTAAAGATGTCTGATGGAGAGTTGGTCATCGATACTGATCTATTTACTCACGAGGTAAAACAATCAACAACTTTTATTCGAAATATTTTTATTTCTACTTTCGTTTTCAGTCTGAAATTGATGGATATACAATCAAAGAATTGGTATCAGCTTCAGAATCAGCCATCACGGGTAAAATTCAAGTCTCAAATTTTGATAACAATGATTCGTACGATATTTATTATCAGTTTGATAGATCTGGTAAAGACAACAAGGAGAGATTAGTTATTCATGGTAAGAATCTGTTTAATTTTTGATGTAAATACATACATGATGGTAAATTATTTCCTTGTCTCAAAACTGTTCCTAATTTATTGTACATAAGGATAGAAAAAAATAAGTGAAATTCGGTAAACGAAATATATTTCATTTCTTTCATATTTAAAGGTAATGATTGCACATTGTACAATCACAGTAAAATGACTCAAAATGCAAATCTATTTGGAGATAATAAACCTCTTAGAGATCTAATACTCCTGATGGGACCTTCAATTATATACCGACTTGATGGACAATCAACTGTTTGGGTGAGTTGATAACAACTATTCTGTTAATGAAACTTGAAATAAAATTTATTTTGAAATTTTGAAATTTATTGCTACACAGCATGGATTGAGTAGGAAACTTATAACGACTGTTGTTAATAAAACATTGGAAATCACTTTTTATTTCGATGGTAAGTCCATATTTTTAATGCATTCAAAAAGTCCTTATTCTCATTCATGAACCAGATAAATACACTCATGGAAATACATTCAAAATTGAATTCAATGGCTATAACCGATCTACAAAGTCACCTGAAGTGGAGTTATACCTACGTATTGCCAAGCAAAAGTCTTTCACTCCGATTCAAACTACTGATTTAAAGTACAAAACTCAAGTAAGAAATTCAAGATCTATCGTTGATATTTGACTTTTAGTCCATTTAATGACTGAAACATATCATCAGCTCGAATTCAGTGTATATAAAAGTTTAATTGATTGGGACTTTATTATTATTCCATCTAACTGGAAGAAACCTTTAAAACTCGAATTGGATTTCATAGCTATGGACCATCTCCATATCCACCTGGGGAGAATTCATTTTTAGAATTTCACAAAGTTGGGTTCGATTCTATGTTATTCGATTTTGTGAAGTATAAAGTTTAAGTAAGATTAAGTAAATTCAAGATTTGTTTGCTGACATTTAACTAATAGTCCAGCAAAATGCCAAAACATATAAGCTCAAATGCAAAATTGTAGGTGAGCCAAGCATGTAAGAGAACAACTTTTCTCAAGTTTACTGCTTTCGAGTATCTTCATTCGTATTTAATTTTAAATTTTCACCGTTTTTTCATGGACAAAAATTAAGTTCTTGAACTGTTTTCCAATGCTCTGAACCTTGCTTGTTCGATAAATACAAAAGTCCGACTGATTGGGTCTTATTAAAACTCTCACTGACTTAATTCTTGTTTAGCCTTCACCTGGAATTGGTTGTCCGAATTACTTAATACCATCTGAAAGGAAACCGATTCCCAAGTTATTGGCCAAGTATGTAAACTTCACCATGTATGAGGAGATCGAAGGCTCAACTAATAACAGACCATTCAGTGAAGTTAGTTTCGATACGTTTAGTTTAGCCTGTTTCTCATCCAATTGAATTACGCTTACAGATAATGGCTTCTGGAAAGCACCTTTTGATGAGACTTAAAACAAACTTAACTGGTGTAAAAACAGAAGTCATCTACGATAATGAACTTGGAATCATTCTTACTCTTGAAGAAGGTGGACGTTGCTGGATTACAATCGGAGACAGGAACTCCCCTGGACGCGACGCAAAAGGTTACTTTAAGCTTGAGAATCTTTTCTTTTTCGATGGCGACTTCAATTATGTGGGAAAGGACTACTTCGTAAGTAACTTCACGAATTGTGAAAATGTTAAAGTTGAATTTTGTGTTTTGAATTTCTTTAGGTAGACCAATTTAAATTTCCTGTTGATGCATGGGAATCAGTTCAATTCAATGTTGATTTTCAGGGAAATAAAGTGGATAAATTTGTCGTTACTCAATATTTCGTTGAATCGGTAAGTTCGATATAACTTTAATTAAACTATAAAAGTCCAACAATTCAACAGTATAGTTATGAAGCAATCGAGGGAATGTATTTAGTGAGGGAAGTACAATTATAATATACTTTTCAATATCTGTAAAATTTTTCCAATCTTTATTTCATGTTTTTGACAATTTTCCCTTTTCGTTCATAACTTGGAAAAGCCAAACAGTATTATATTCAATGGTTCAGCGCTTGTCCAAACAATGATTTCCATCTATGACTCAGACTCATCGGTAAGTATTCATTTCCATTCTTAATTTCTTTTTGTGATCATCTAAATCATTTCAATTTTTTTCATCAGAAAAAAAGTTACGCTTTGGCTAAAAGGATCATAAGAGGCTACAGCAATATTCGAACGATTGAAGCTGGAGAAAAAGAATTATATGATTATTTTATGCTGAAGGATTGTAAATACTTGCTTAACGACAGAAAAGTAACCCTTAACTTTAAAATAGCATGTGAAGGTATGTTTTATATTGATGCTCACTTTATGTCTCTCAAATCAAAAGTTAAACATGTGTATATTATAATTAATGTAATTAATTCTGAAAGCGAGATTTGAATTTGCTTCAATGGAATTCATTGTTCATTGAGCAAGCATACAAAATAATGAATGGATTATTAATGTCTCAATTTTATTTACAGCACTTAATACAGATTGTATAAAATTAGCTAACAGACTTTTGGTCCGATTCAAGGAAGAGTTCATAGATGCAATGCTAATATATGAACCAATCTCTCAACTGAGAATCGATGATATTCAATACCGTTCTTCCGACTCTCAAATCGAAATGAATGTCACATTTCTTGATAAACCCAATTTTGATGGTAAATTGATGTTAACTTGGAATTCAATCGAATAAACATTGACGAATATTTTTTTACAGATCTTATGAAGCCAGAAAAAATGCTTGTCAGTAACGAAACATTTGATGTGGCTAGAACTCTCTCCGCAAATAATGAGCGTGAATGCTTGGATCAATTAGGTCATGTCCGCGGACTTTTTTCGTGGGTTAATTGCGAGTTTGTATGAATTTTTTGATTGTACTAATAATGGCCGTACTCTTTTTTTCAATCAGTGTTGGCATCTGGCGATCTTCAGATTCTTTTTGTGGTTATTTGAGAAAATTTGAGGATTTCAAGGAAGATGCCAAAAATGGAGTATCTTGTGACGTCTACATCTTGCCATTAGAGAAGTACTATCGCATAAGTCATGAATTAGCCCTTGATGATCTTCAAAAATCCTTTTTAGAAAATAAATTCAAAACATTTTCAATGGGAGATCCTGAATCACACGAATGTAAACATTTATTATGTCATGAATTTAATTGCTGCATCTTAATTTTCTCTTCAAAATTTCTCCACAGCTATTTCTTTTAAAATTATAGATATAGTTAAAGTGCCCAAATTCGAAAGGGATGTTAAAGAGTCGGATATTACTTTATACCATGAAATCGGAAGCAATTCGAAGATGAGAAAAGATGACAATACCACTTTAGTTGTACCTGGAATCGCAAAATTTTCTGACTGCCTCAGAGTCTGTCAAAAATCAGAGGGACTTGACTGTAATTCTTTTTCTTTTTGTTCTGATTCTGATTTCGTTGAATGCAGAGTAAGCACCTTGAGAGAAAGTAATTTTACTGATGCAGCAAACAAAGAAATGGATTCGAAATGCTCTATCTTCACAATGAATGCTTTGCGATTTTACTCAAAAGTTCCTAACCGAAAATTCAAAAACCAGATATCAACTGCAATTAGGCATAGCGCTGCGTTATGTGCTCAGGAGTGTTTGAGTTCCGATGATTGTGTATCATTCCAACAATGTGAATACTCGTGTAGTTTCAATAGCTTATATAGCGACTCGTTTACTGAGTATGACGAAGATTGTGCCATATATTACCGTAAGTATTCTTGAGTATATATAATTCGATTTCAGAAAAAAACGAATCTCATGAGCTCTTCTTTTTTTCAATATTAGCCAAAGTATCTCATGAGTACAGAAATACTGGAAATAAAATAGTATCCGAAGTGATTCACACTGAGATGAACTTGAATCTAGACCAATGTGCTTCATTGTGCCATGGATGGACTGATGGTGACAATGGATGTAAATCGTTTAACTATTGTCCTAGAAATATCAATCAAATGGAAAGCTCATGTTCATTGACTAAATATTCGGTTAAAAGTTCTGATGCAAATAGCACTGAAGGAGGTCACTGTTCAAATTACGAATTGATAACTCAGTCAAATGACAATACCAAAGAAGAATCAAGTGAAACTCAAGTGATCAAAGGAACGAGTGAATCGAATGCTTTCGGTATAATCATAATGTTTCTGGTCATTATTTCTTTTTTAGTATTCTCAGCTCCATGTGTTTACGAAAAAATCAAACCCAAACGAGTTTTTGCACAGTTAAATGAGAGTTTAACTTTGACAAAACAAGTTAATGAACAACCTGGAACTACTAAGATAAATATGTCGAACTTTTAATTGTTGATCTCACACTCAACTGCATGTGAATCCAAATGTTCCAAGAATATATTCACTCCAGTTCTATTAGTTTTCTGAATCCGCCGTCTATTGTTAATGTACATGTATATAATTTATCATTCCAATCTTTTATGCAAGAAATCCAGTCAATAATAGATGTAATATGAGATAAATAATAAAAGCTTCATAAGTCAATTCTAATCATATCAACATCTTCAATTATTATGGGGTAGCTCATGATACCTTATTATTTGTTGAATTTATTATCAATCTTAATGATTTGGTTCATGGCCAATAAAACGCCTCTTTGTATTACAATATAAAATTTACAAAACTAGATTCAGTTTTTGAGTTCGATAAGCGGAGCTTACCAGTCATCAAAAACTTAAACATTGTCTGTCTTTAAGCTTTAATTAGGTACAAGATTTGAAATAAACGATATGATTCGTCTCATAAAAACTTTAGTTAATTTCACACATTTTTCTGCTTCGAATGTCTCTTGAAGATTTAACTGAATTAAAAAGTCTGATTATCAAGAGATTTCATCGATTTAGAGATTGGGAGGTTTCTTTGTTCTCTTATCACTTGCTGCTACTTAAGCTACTGGCTTAGAATTGAATCTACACAATAACTTTACTTGAACATTTATCAAGAATTTTCATCCATTTATTCATTTCTGTGTCAAATTATGGTTGATTGGTTGCTCTTCATTGAATCTAGAAGCTAAGAGCTGCTAAAGTTTTAGTTTTTATAAGTCTGTTTTTAAAACCAAAATGTTGTCCCGAACTCTTATTGGCATTGGTTTCGCTGCTTTAGTGGGAGTTACCATTACAATTTGCGTTTTAGTTCCTATTTTCAAAAGATCTTCATCATCTTGGTCATTTAATGAAGGTAAGGTTTATTATTCAACAATTAAAGTTAATTTTATCAATAATTGGGCACCAACTTTGAATGTGTTAAGTAACTCGAAAAGTAAAAACATCACCATAGATTCATTTGTGACAAACTAGTTTAATCTGATGATAATCAAAAAATATCGAGTGCCCAAGGATTGTCGTATTCAGATGAGCTTCTCAGCTGTTGTATGAAAATATAAAAATATAATATTAATATTTTATGCTCAATGATTGTAGATGAAAGTGAACCAGAATGGGTTGCATTCAAAGACAACGTTTCTCTTACCAATGCATACGTAGCTGGTTACCAAACGAATGACGATCCCGTTTTCATCTGTCGAGCAGATTATGAACATTATGCAGGAGTTTATATTGGCATATTTCCAGGAACTCTTGACCCAAGGAAAAGAGTTTGTTTAATCTCTTACGGAGGCAATTCTTATGAAATGACAACCTTTGAATTTTTAAAAGCCAAAGATGAATCGAAGCTAACCTGGGTGACATCTTCAAAAGGTGATTTACCAATGGGAACTTTAATTGCTGGTTCATCAGATGTAACCGATGAACTTCCCATTGCTAAATTTTATCACAAAAATCAGATTTTGATTGGTAAAGTTGAGGCAAGAGATGAACTTGCTTATGCTTCATATGATGATACAGAAGTTGAAGCCATTGAATATGAAGTTCTCTGTTTGACCAACTTTAGTTTTAAAAAGTAGAAAAAATTGCCTAATTTAAATTTCTATTAAAGCATTACATTTTCGTAAGTTTTTTCATCAATAAATAATTATGCCACTAACGAAGCAAGGCTCGTACAGGACTAAATCAAGGTTTGAATCAGTGCGTGTGATTTAAAACAATTAAATGTCAATGAAAGTAAAAAGAAGAACTCTAACAAGAAGGTGCTGTTTTGCTTAACAGTAAATTTTATTTTCAACATTTGATAAAATAACGAATAAAAGTTTGAATATTCAAAGTATCAAAAATACGAATCAAATCAAGAATATAAATACAAAACTTTTATAACTCTCAATTAGTGTTAATGAAAACGGGTCCATAATTAAGTTTTTATGTATACAAATGAGCCTTCCTCCAAGTTCACAAAGAGACTCTATCAATAAAAGGCTCCAATTTCTTTAGCTGCTAGATTCAATTCCCGATGTAAATTTTTGTTTACATTACTATTCAATATTTCAGATGATTTAGATGAAGATGATGATGTTGATGAATTTTTAGCGCCAGAAAAAAGTCCACAATTTGAATGTCCCTTGGCAATAAAATTTTTCTTGAAAACATTGGGCAGAGGGAATGATTTGGAGGAATCAAGGGAATCTTTGATGGATTGTCTTTCGGCTGATTTACTTTTTTGAGATGATGACGATGATGATGATGAATTACTGGTCTTGATAACATTAATCGACTCATTTGGATTATTTGAATTTCCACCAGAGAAAAAGTAAGACTGAAGCGATGAAGCCAAATTTCTACACTTTCCTGATGAAGATAGTTGTGAGCTTGAACGCTTACCAGGCGTTGATGAACCGTAACCCAAAACAGTTCTCCCAGTTGGATCAAGAGACTTTCCAAGTCCTGGACTATTATGCACTTCATTGAGTGATGTCATGCTTGATCCTCGACTTTTCAACAAAAATTGTGTCCAGCTTTCGGATGATCTCATTTCAATATTATCATTCAGTTGTCCATCGACAATGCTAGAAGATTCGTTCAAATAGCCTGTCGATTGAGATCGTTTACGATTTTTATTTTCAGACGAATGATTTGATCGATGATGGCTGTTAAAATGATTATCTGAAGACAGATAAGCCGATTCAGTTTTATTATTCACTTTTGGATATTGCCAATCTAAAGTAAATTCTGTGTCTTCACAGTCAGCACCTACAATTGATGCAGAACAAGTTATCTCTCCATTAAGTGATTGGTCATTGAAAATACTTGAAAGTCCGTTGGAGGAGACGATTGCTGATGGAGTTGGCATTGGAGCAATCGGTTGTGATTTAGATATTATTGAGTTTTTACTTTGATTATAATCATTTTTCTTAGGATAAACATCAATCACAGTTGGTTTACTTTCTTCACTTATATCATCGTCATCATCAACACTGTCAACCCTCTGTCGAAGTCTCCATCGAGATTCTCCTCCAGCAGAACCATCATTTCCACCTGTACGATTATTTACTGGCTTTTTACTTTTCTTTGGGGGAACATGTTGTTTGGTGCTTTCAAATTGATTGTGATGATTGAGATTCAGATTATCTCGGCGCAAGTGCTCTTTGCCACTGTAACCTTTGAAATTTGATGGTGGTCGGATGGAAGGTATATAAATAAATATATCTTCGTTGCGGACATTCTGATCATCTACACAGTCGTCGTTAATAATACTTGGTGTTGATATCTCTTTGCCATTCATGTTACTTCCATTAACAATTGCGCTTTTAGCCTTTTCTTCATTGCCAGGTGATCGACCACCACTATTCTCTCCTCCTTCTGAATCTGACCATCGTCCCGAATCTGCAGCACCACTAATAGGATCGCTACTATCACTTCCAGGTCTTCCACTCGATTTACTTCGCCTTCGGCAAGTAATCTTTATACCAGATTCACTAAGACGTGCTCGTAACAGCATAACTTCCGCTTCCAAATCTTCAGCTTTCTCTTTCATCTAAAAGCAAAAAACATATTCAAGTTAGTAATTAAACAGGTATATTTACTTAGCACGATGTGATAGTCAATTATTACATAAAGCTACACTAAATCAACAATATAGCATTTATGATTAATTTAATAATATAATTAATTTAATCTCATAAATAAGCTTAGTTAGCAAAATATTCAACTATAATTGAATGAAAAAATCACGATTTTCTGTCTTCAAGTATCATATTTCAGATAATTTTTAAGCAATTTTGAGATTCACGTACATCAATATCTCTAAATAAATAACTAATAACTGATAATTTGACGGCAAAAGGTGAAATCACTGAGAAATAAGCGAAGTACACACATCAGCATCAGCAATTGAAACAGACTTACCTCTCGTTCAATGTGCATCAAATTGATCTTATCTTCCTCTAATTTCTGTTGATGAAGAAGGGTACAAATTAATTAATTTGAAAATAGTTAACACTAATTCAACAATTAACTTACTGTTAAGGCTCGTTGCAACAGATTAATTTCCTCATTAAGTTTGTTAGATTCTCTTGTTAACATTTTATTTGATTTGATCAGTTCAGCAACATCGATGTACTTGTCACGCCATAAACGCAGCTCCGACCAAATTTGATCATCAGGTGGAATACTTTTCTCTTTAATTCTCTGTGGTAATGTTAATCGATGGAATGACCAACACAGGATTCAACACAAGATGAACGTTGGAACAAAATATAAAAGTTAAATAAATTAGAACTGATTCACAATAAATCAACAAAAGATTAATTCAAAACAAAGTGTTGAACAAGTTACCATTTCATGAAGTTTGAACAAATGAACTGATCTGATAGTAAAACTTGCCATTAAACAACAATCTCAATTATTTGATTTGAAATAAACAAAAGATGAACTTCCAATTTGATAAACTGTGAACAAGTGATTCTCACTTATCTCAATTATTGTAACTTATAAGTCAAAAATATAGTTATTGTTATCGCCACCAATCACTTTGATCATAGAAATGATGGTAATTGTCAATCTAATAAAATAATTTTGCTTCCTGGTGACATTAACTGATCCCGCCATTTTGATGAGATTCAACCCAAAGTCTGGCATCAATCATTTTTGGTAACAACGGAAGCTTCATGTATCTACCAATACAATTCATCATCAGTTAGATGCTAATAGGTGAGATGGAATCAAATCTCGCAAACTTACTAAATAGGTTAAACCTAAACAAAAAAAATGTCAACAAATAACAGTATAAAAATGATTTACACGGTTTAACAAATCCATTGACACTAAACCATTAACTATCAACTACACTAAAATCTTCAAACCATTTAAATCTTATGGAAGGTTAACTTCATAAATGTTCATTTTTAGTAGATGTAATTTTAACCAGCTTCATGACATTGTTACTGTTACTATTATGATCATTATTGTGAACTTATGGAAGCAAAATAACCAATATTACAGCAACTTGTTCAAATGTTTACAAAGATTATTGTTTACCTTTTCAAGGGAAACAAGGTCAAGACCAGCTTCTTCAAGTTCACATTGAACACGAACCCGTTCCGCTGGATTAGGGCACTTAGCCAATAAACTATTCAAAAACATTAACACTGTGCTTTCAAATCCATTGGCTGATGAACCATTTGATGAATTAAGAATAGCAATTAAAAGTTTAAAACGAACGGATTCACCAAAAATGATTCGCATCGTTGACATGGCTTCAAGAACCTTTCCATCTCCATCAGGTTCGGTGTTGCAGACTTTAGTCAAGAGCTGATTTGATCAAAAGAGAAACGAGAAAGCAATATTAAATTTAAGTTTTGCAATTTACGATGTTAAAACATTGTTACTATTAATAAAATTACGGGTAAGTAGAGAAACAAGCAAAAAAATCTGAAAATTATAAATAGCTAATTTAGAAAAACCAAATTTTCTCTCGCTTTTTCTCAATTATTTAACTATAATTACGTTATTTAGTAACCAATTCATGATTTTGCTAATTATTAGCTATATAATTAAATTAATCAGTGAGAAACTGCTAGTTAACTTGAGATTTTAATATTTAAAGTGAAAACAGTCAAACTTTTATCAAAAATATCAATTAGCTCGATGTGATTGTCCCACCTTACATTCACGTTCAACTGTACCTTAAAATTAAATTCAATACTAATAAACTTAAATCAAACGATCCATATCAATAACTTACCTCTAAAGCGATAACTCGAGATTTGGTCAAATTAGAGACAATACATGAGGCTAAAGTGAGGAGACCATTCCGATGAGCCAGTATCTTGACCAAAGTTTTCTAAAACGAAAAATAAAAAGGTAAAATTAGATTACAATTTAAAGATCACATAGAAATTTAAAATGATTCTTACCGAGTTAGCGGCAGCGGCATATTTTAAACAAAGTAAACAATCATATTCGTCAGTCTGTTAGAAAAAAAACAAGATCAGTTTTAATGCGCTTCTGAAATTTTGTATGTAGTCATTAACCAGCATTTAATCTGGTTAGACATAATAGACAGCTGAATCTAAGGGAAACAGCTTTAGTTTGTTATTAATTTATATCTAAAACTCTGAATATAATGAATTTTGTGCCTAAATGATTTAGATCGGCCTGACTTACCATAGCTCGTTTGAGTTGATGTTGACGGTCACGGTTTTTAATCATTTTATTTTTGTTAGGTAAATCGCGTCCTCCTGATATAACCATTCCTGGACATTGTTGACGATTAAGAGAGCTTCGAAGAAGATCAAGAAGCCATGAGATTCCATGATGAGGTTCATCAATGAATTCGTCGACAAAACTGTAAATTATTTAAGAGAAACAAATTCAAAAATCACAGTTAAGTAACTGTCATTAAAAAGACACTAAAAAAGACAGAGGTTTCTTTGTCTCCATCTATCGGATCTAATGACATTTTTAATAATTAAACAAAGATATTGTTAACTCATTAAACCCACGAGATGGAGCGCGTTTTCACTTGTTGATTAATTACCTTCCTTGAGCAGCTCTTAAATCATCAGCCAATTTCCTTAATAATTCAGATAATTTTGGAACTTCAATTGACATTCCTGTTGAATTGTAAGAATTATCCTTTAAATCTTCATTCTCGGTTTCGAGTTTCTCCTTTTCCACTTGTCGTTTAAGATAAAAGATATAATCAAATGGTGAAAGAAATGGAGGTCGAGGTGTCATCTGTAAACAAAAGGATCAAATACAAAACCAATCAATTATTGTCAACAAATTATGAATTCTAATGAAGTTATCTCAAAATCACTTGATAACCCAACTATTAATACGATCATGTGAAAAGCTGGATCAATGAAGATCAATTGAAGAGACAATTTTCAAGTGAGTTGACCTAAAACAAAATTAGCTAACTTTAACCCAAAAATCTCTTCTCTTTTTTTCCTTCTGACTGTCCGAACCAGACAAAAAGGGTCAACTATTTCATCGCTCATAATCCTAATGATGTCCAAAAGTCCATCTCTAGTGAATTAATCTCTTCTCTTAATCATTGGATCACGATTTAAATCACAATTTTAGTCACAAAAAATCCAAAAGAAATCATTTTCTTCATCTCTTCATTTCCCATTTCAAAGGTTTGTATTTTGCATTTCATTTCATTACAAAGAGTCTTCAATTAGCTTGAATTAATATTCATTTTAATAATACAATAGTAATAGTACAATAATAATCATCATCATTATCATTATTAACATCATTAAAATGAATATTACTTTTTTCATCTTTCAATTTGGATACAATTTGTTTACAACGTTGATTATCAATGTAATCCCATTTTTTTGGTAACAACATGATAAACAATTGTAAAATACTGAAAAAACTGGATATTTTTAGGAAGTCAATTATTTCTCAAAATTGACTAAAATTAAAATACCAAAATTCGGGTGAAAAAATGATTTAATAATGTAAAAATACGAAAAAATCACAATTGAAAGTTACAAAGTTTCCAGCCTTACCTTATTTGAGATGAAATTTTGTTTGAAACAATCAATAAACATAACTGTTGACATGGTTAATAATCACACCAAAAGCATCAATTAAACATACTTAAAAAGGAAAAATTTTCCCACTTAAAAAGATTCTCAAATATTATTTTCACAATTGACGATGAAAATAGCAGCTATTGTCTGAGTTGTGTTTGATTACAACTGATTGATAATTTTGAGTGAAATGAAATGAAATCTAAAAATGATGATCAACTTGAAAGAGTGAATATTTGCTATTAAGATGAATGAAACTTCCGTAGTCGATGAAGATAAACAAACATGTTAATCATTGAGCCTTACAATGAATTGGTAAACAATTTTGATATAACCCTTTAAAATAGCTATTATGATAACTTGTTAACACTTAGCTTCTTTGGTTCATTTAATTTTTACCAGCGGTTCGAGATGTTGATTTTTCAAGCCTATTTTTGACTCAAATAATAGTTGAAACCAGAAAACAAAACAACCTTTCATTAACAGTTATTTAACCTTTCTCTTGTTACTCTTCCCTATTATCTCAACAATTCAGGTGGAAATGATTATATTTGATTGTGGATTCTCAAGAATCATATCGCATCTCCAATAATTACCTTTGATGGTTCAATCTTCAGCTTTGGATCAATTGGTGTTGGCATTGATATAAGAATGTCTTCTTCTTTTGGTAACATTGACAATTGGAATCCTGTGAAATTAAAATACAAATTCATGATTAATGGTTGAGCAGTCAATGGATGCTTCAATTAGATTGGGCAAACTCGACTGTTACAATTTGGCTTTTCAAGTTTCTCGGATTGCTAGAGACTGGATCAATTTAGTGATGAAAATTTGGATAATCAAGCTTATGAAAAACAATGATTCTGATCAATTGACTGGAGAAAATAATTAATTGCTGAAATGGAAATTTCAATGAAAGATGATTCTCCAGAAATTTGGCATCTAAAGGGTCCCTAATAAAGTCTCGGAATGAAAGTAAAGTGAAATTTTTCAGGGAATCAGTTTGTTTGGTAAATGAATAGAACTTGTAATCTTTAATAGATACTATAAACTCCATTTTGGGAAATTTTGCGCAATTTCGACCTTACTCCTTTCATCAGGTTAAGTCCAGAACGACTAGCGACTTTTTTTGATATTTTCAACCAAGTTTTTTTGAATTCCTCCAGGTTTGAGGCCGTATTTTTTTCCTTGGCATATTCAGCTTTACATAATGCCCAGAACTTCTCAATAGGCCGAGCTTGAGGTAGATTAGGACAGTTTTCATCTTTCTCGACACAATCGATATTATTTTCCGCTAGCCATGTAATAACCGGCTTCGAATAATGAACAGTTGCCATGTCAGGCCAGAATAAAACTGGTGCATTTTCATGGTATTTTTTTATGAATTTTGAAAGAATGGCCTTCAAACAATATTTCTTATAAATTTCAGAGGTCATTGTTGACTCTGAAATGAATGGGCGGGATACATTACCGAGCTCATCGATTGCTTGCCATACCAAAAACCGCTTAGGAAATTTGGCCTTTTGATTAATTTTGTGGTCAATGGGAACATTTTCAGGGTCTCTGCAGGTATAAAAATGTCTGCCGGGCACTTGTGATGGGTCGGCAGGGACATAAGTCTCGTCGTCCATGATGAGTACCGTTCCTTTTCTGCGGGAAAGTTTCCGGTAAATTTTTCCGGAATTTTTCAGAGACCGATTTTGTTGCTCTGGACTGGCCTTTGGTACAGTTATTTTGACTCGCGATTTCATACCTAATTTTTTCCTCTTGATATGGCCAAGGGTTGAGACGCTTAATTTCAACTTTTTAGCAGCTTGAGTCTCCGATATTGAAGGGTTCTCCGTGTACAAATTGTCCACAGCATTTAAAACTTTGGGGGTCATTATCTTGACCGGTCGACCTGAGGAAAAGTTTGTTTTCACTCTTTTCTCATCATTATACCTTTTTATTATTCCATAGAATGTTGAACTGGGAATTCCTTCAGATTTGAAGTGTTGCCAGGTCACTTTAGAGTCAAATGCACCAGAATCACAATAAAATGAAATAACTCTTTCCGCAAGAGCGTCACGTTCAGCCTTATTTAGCATATTTAGTTCACGAAATTAAGTCTACTTTTGGTATAAAATTGATCAAGAAAGTGCATTCTTTAATTTTCTATCAAAATTTTTTTAATATCCCTTGAAAAAAGCCGTTAATTTTTGTTTTAAATTTAGTCCGAGACATTGTTAGGGACCCTTTACTTGGATTCAGCTGATGGTCAGTTTGATTTTCAAGCTGGTAAACATTAGAATCACAAATCTCATTTTGGACGGAATGACGCTTGGATGTTTTAAGCAGTTTCTGCCAAAAAATCTCATTTTAAGTTAACTTGATTCCAATTTTTGATGGTCTTTGAATCTGATTCGGTGATTGGAATTCTTTTTCGAAAAATTGGCCAAGCAAATGAATACAAAAAAGGATCAAATTGAAGATCTTTTTGTCTTCCAAAAATATTCATCTATTCATTACATAATCATCAGATAAACTCGGACCAAACTTGAATCTATCCTGGATCACATCTCTATCAACTCTAGATAATATCAACAATTAAGTCGATCCTTTGCTACCCTTAATTATCTCATTAAAAGCAACTATAAATTGTATTCATCGACTCGATTGCTAAAAAGGACGTTGCAATTGATTGATTAGACTAAATGGGAAATCAAATTGATCGATCAAATTTGTTGGAAAAGTCAAATAATGAGAAATTACTTTTAAGAATTACTATTTAATTTTTAAAGAAAAAAATATCAATTCAAAGTTGATTATGAAAGATGAATTGATCAGTTAAACTGTAACATGTAACAATTGAATCTGTTAAAGGAGTGGGCCAATCGATTGTTATTATTGAATAAAAGTTGCCAATGAAATAGTCAATGTTAGTCAATAAAATACTTGATAACTTAAAATCAACTCATTTTGATAACATTTATTCGTGAATCTAATATTTGATTGATATTTTGTTGCATCTTCACAATCATTATTCTGATGATCATTCAGATTGCAACAATTAACTGAATCAATCAACATGTAAACAAAAAAACGGCAAAACAAAAAGCAAAGTTAATCTATTAATCTAATAATTATTCCCACGGCAGAAATAAATACTGAAAAACATGATTTTAAAGCCCTTTGGCTTTGAATGGAAGCAAAATATTAATGAACACAAAAAACAATTAACATTAATCATCATCTTGATCCACATTAAAACATTTAACTACACAAATCGGATTAATCGCAATTCTCACAGTAAATGTCAATTGTTAATCCATCGATTGAATACAAAAGGATGGCCAATCTAAAAAAAGGTCAACTTCTAAGTAAAGATCAACTGAACCTTTTAATTTTCTTAATGAAATATTCCTTGAAATTTAGCCTCAACTTTGCTCGTCCAAATTTAATGGTAAATTGTTTATAAAAATGTTGACCATAATAGCTACTGATGTTAAACATGGAAACCAACCTTTTAACCTTTCTTGTAACATTACGTTTCGCCTTGAGGGTAAACTTGTTGGGCTCATTTTCAATTACATTTTCAATGGTTAACAGTTAAGCGTGAGTAAAATTTTCATCAATATATTACTATCATGATCATGTCTATCAGTTGCTGATTTGAAGGAATAAGTGATGAACATGATATTTCAAAAATAAATCAACTTTAAAAGTTAAATTAAAAGTGTAAATAACAAAGAAAATGCATTTCACCCAATTTACATCATTATAATACTTTCACCAGAAGAGGTTCAATCCCTTAATTATCTTTAATGATAACGAAAAATAGCTAAACTATCGAACGATTTTCACCTTTCAAAGAACAGCTCAGCGCTTAAACGCAAGGAATTCAGTTTGCTTTTCATGTAAAGCTAAATACTGAGAAACAAAAAGCGATGCCAAAAAACTTCTCATCATTTGGATTCTGCAAATTCGCCATTCGATTTCATTTCTTTGTCCTAAATAAATGCCTCAAATCGGAGTGAAAAGTCTTCCAGCGATTGGGAGATTTTAACATTAAATATTGAATCAGTTGAAGTTGAAAAGCAGAAGTCTCGAGATTCCATCTTTGGTTAATTTTCATGTAATTTTGTAACAAAAAGTGTTATTTGTCAGGTTGATCTTGATTTATTACAATTGTTTCAACTTCTAACATTTAGTTGATTAAACATATTTTAAGTTGGAATCAAGATGATATCTGAACGTTTAAAGAGCTACAGCGATGTTCACTTTTGTTGAAATGTTTCCAACTGAAGACAATTTAATTTGTAAACTGGCTTTAAATGCTGAGGTCGATGGACACTTGAATGTGTAATGATGTAAATAGCGTGAGTACAAGCTGAGGGTCTGTCATAGACCTTCACTAATTGTTATAATTGATTCTGTTTCTTTCAGTGATAACTCAAACTCTCATGGAAGAGAAAGTTTACTTTTTTTATCAAGTCAAATGTCCACTGGTTCAGTCTCATCTTGATGATGAACGATGAGATAGAATGATGGACAAGATATGAACAACAAGAACAACTAAAAAAGTAAAGGTGAAAATATTATTGAGTTGGAAGAAATTAATTCTTAGTTTTCTTCATTTCAACTACAGGCAATGTAAAGAGCTATGATTATGGGAACAATTAGGATGAGAATCAACAACACTGGACGGAACAAGTTGAACTTGACATTTCCGAGCTTTTGTTTCCTTCCATTGCCTAACTGCATCTTAATTTGGTTCCTTTGCCATCAACTAAGATGCTTAAATGGCAATTAACTAATGATAACTTTTTAACACTTTTTGTGCAACTTTGAGCCAACAAATTAATATTTGGTTTTCACTTAATCACACTCAAACAAGATCATCAAAGCTTGAAATTGATGAAAAGATGCTTTGAAAAGTCACTTTTTGCCTCAAAAGAAACAAAGTTATTGATCATTAAACTACAATTAATCAATCTTCATCTGTTTCTAATTGATTTATTTTTCAGTTTAACTTGAATTTTGTTTCAATTGAAGTTTATTAATTTCCTGTCTTTGAATATGATTTGTGATGTTAATGAATTAAGGCAAAATTATACACTAATACGCTTCTGTTGATTTTTGAACACGAATCATTGTTGGTGTGCAAATTGTTTGATCACGTAACAAAGGTTGCATTGACTTGTTAAATCGTTAATTATTCTGATAATTAAAAGGTTGTTTTATGCAAAAATACCAAGCAACATCATTAAGACAATCATCAATCACAATAAAATGCGAAGACAACCACAAGTTGAATGGTCAACAGAAATGGTAAGCTAAAGCTACCAAAACACGCTCAACTAATGACCAACCAACGAACAAGAAGTTAACTTTTTCTCGTTAATTTTATTCTCAAGTTAAATGATTGATAATAATTGTCCTTTTCAACTGAGAACTCAATTTGATTACAAGTTGAAGTTACTAAATAAACTCATCAAAAGTTGAATCAGTTTGAATATTCTGAAAGTGATTGATCATTGATTTGATTGTCGCAGTTGATCAACTTTTCTTTCTTATTGATTGATTGGAAATTATTTTAATCAACATTTCATCTTAAATGGTCTAATGTATTTTAATGATCCAGATTAGGCCATACTTGACCTTTCGTTGGATCAACGCTCCTCAAATTGTGAGATTCAATCGCTGGGT